TTCAATCACTGCTGCCGCCGTGTTGATTAATCTTGATGTAATTTCCCTCCCAGTGGCATGTCAGCAGCAGAGACAGCAGCAGTGAAGACTGGGCAGGTGTAATACAAGCTTCAGTTCACTTCACAGTTTCTATTATCTCATAAATTGTAAGACAAAGGAATATACCCTCTTTCTCTTTTGCTTTTTCAAGTCTTCCTAGATGTAAGATTAGAGGGAAAATTCTCCAAAGGTGCCCCTTAACTGCATTCTTAAAAACATGCCTGATCATAGCAAGGGAAGATTTTTCTCAAAAGAAAAAAGCACTAAAGCCAAAATACCTGAATAAAAATGGGACTTCTGTTCAGAGATGTTGTTTAGTACTTGATTTCGGTGTTTAATTGATTAACATACTGTTAGTCATTCAAGTTGTAGCATTGGTTCCCATGACACATTGCTAATGTGTGATAATGAGGAGGAAAACCTTTTGCAATCATTATGTGCACCTGGTACAGCAGCCTCGGACATGACACGTACCTTTACTCAATGAAGCATAAGCCTGGAATAATAACTTCCTTCACAGAAAAATATGCTCAATTAGCTGCTCAAAAATATGAATGAGGATGGAGAGTTTTCAGTTTCACTCTCGTGTTAGTAAGGATTTATTGCCTGAGATCTGAATCCTTCAGGTGTGTCTGCACTATGACTGCTTTCTTTTTACTTCCGTTACTCAAACTATTTTGGGAAGTTTTAGGCACTTTTAAGGGGAGGAGGGTCGGAAGTTTCTAAGGGAGAGATGAAACCTCTGTCATTTTTCAGCAAAGCCGTTTCTTACCTCACTAGACAAGCAAGGGAATGATTTTTCTTTTAGTTTCCTACTGCTCGCCATGATGCAGTACTGCAAGCACACTAAAGGTCCAGGACCAGCGTGGCTTGTCACTGCCTGTTTTATTTTAGAGGTTTGTCTCAGTAGTATCCTGAATAGAAAATTAAAGGAATGGAAAGGCAGATCTCTGTTGGTTTAGTCCAAAGCCTGCCTACTGTTGTGCTTATTCAACTCCTGCGACTGGGGGGTATGGAGAGAAGTTGTTTTTGTTTCCTCATTCTGCACAAAAGGATTTGACACAGACTCCTCCGTCGGTCTTTGATTATGAAATTGTTACCCTGTTTGTTTTACAAGCATGTTTTTCAAACCCATCCTGTCCCTCTTGCCTTGGGGCAGTCCGGAAGCCGGGATCGTAGCCAAATGAGCTGATAGTTGAAATTTGATCTATGTGGGATCCCATCTGTGTGGAGAGAAGAATATTTGGTTTTTGTTTGGCATCAATTTGTAATCAGGAAGCTTCTGCTTTTTCAGAACTATATGAACTAAATTTTAGTACGGGGAGTATTTTGAATCACAGGTGAGAAAGCTGTGAGGGCTTTGCTTGAGAGTACTGAAGAAGCATAGATTATAAACAAATATTTATTTAGGAGACTACTCACTGGAGCAATTTTGTATTTTACCATAGTGTCAGCTGAAGCCAAACGAAGTCCTGATATCCGTTATCTGTTGTGATGTACTTTAAAATTGCTTTTAAATTGCTTTGTGACACCTCTGCTGTCTTACTGTACTCCTCTAAAAATAGCACATAAGAACACCACCTGGATTGTATCTTTTATTTTCTTGCATGGAGGGATTGAGGTTTCTTTAATAGGCCACTGGAAGAGGAGGAAGTGAAGCTCAGAGTATGGGTAAACGATAGGAGGATGGTAAAACTTGCTAATAGCTTATGGGAAGAGAGGAGAGTGGCGGTGGAGTCACCGCTGTCCTGTAGGGCACAAGAGGGTGCTGTGCACTTAGCAGATAGCAGGCTAAACCCTTCATTTAGTAGTACAGGTTACTGTAACTGACTGATGCAAATAAAATATTAAAGTAAAGCTTTAATATCTTATTAGATAGAAAGCTTTGCAGAATCTCCCTTCCTGCTATCCAAAATTGCCCGAAATGTCTGGCAAGTGAATGAAGCTTCAAAAAGATTCAAGAGAATCTCTATGCTGTTAGGGAAACAGATGAGGTACAGACATAAGCAGTAGCTAAGGAATGAATACAGCTGAACAGACAAAATGAACTAGGAAATGTTATACAGAGAAAGACGGGTCAGGAAGAAGCTCTCCGAAATCAGAGACAGCGAGAGAAAGGTGTCAGACCATGGCACGTGGCCTGTGATGGCAAGCGCTGGAGCTGGTCTGGTGTAGCTGAAGATCAATGCTGTTACGCGTTGGCAGTGAAACTCTGTTTGCCTGGATGCTATGGGAGCAGGGCTGATGGCTGACAAACCTATGGGATACCTATCCCAAAAATACCCAGAGCCTGATAGTGACCCCTACTCTCCTGCTGACCCCTACTCTCCTGCCAACCCCTTCACAAACCCTTCGCAAACATCTCGGATAGGAAAGCTCCACAGATTCAGTGGGGAAATTGCAAACTGCATATGAGCGCTCAGAGTGAGCTGTGAAGATAGTGTTGCTTACAGTGCTTTCCCTATAGGGGGTAATAGGTAAAGAATACACGTGAGCAGCTGAGCAAAAGGTAGGTCTGTTTCTTAGGGAAAGGAGAGGCAATGCTAGCAGGGACTGGTGGCATTCTTGGGGAAGCTGAGTCCTGTTCCTACCCCTGCCACTAACGTGTTCGTGGATCTTTCACTACTTGTGCCTTAATGTCTGTAATCTCCCATCTGTGAAGCAGGCATAATAATGCTGAGGCATCTTTGAAAAGAAAATGGCAGAGCCTGATTCGGTAGGTTTGGTAGAAAAAGGGTGGGTCTGCACAGGAGGAGCCGTAGGGGCCCTTAAGTCCTGTGTACTGATAACTGCACTAAACAGAGCGCTAGATCTCTCTAGAGAAGGTCCTCATTACTACAAGATATCAAGTCAGCTCTGCTTTCCTGTGTTAGGATCAGCTTTAGCTCTGACTTAAAGCCTTAATAGAATTAGGGGCAGAAAAACAGTAGAATACAGCAGAAGCAAGTGTTTGCAAGATATGGCCTTAAAAGTTTAAAAAGCATCAATTCTGCCTGAGAAATACCAGTTGCAGCTACTTGTTGATGCTGATTCATTAAATCCTGGCCATAAGAGTGATTGTGCGTGTTGGGTTGGTTTTTTTATTCAGAGGTAGCCTATCAAACTTCCACCTCCTCTGTAATTTAAAGGTAAATATTTGAAATAATCATCTCAGGAATTTAATTGGGCTTTGCCCTAGTGATTTATAGAGGCAGCTGTGCCCATTTCTTTCTGGGTGGTGTTTTAAAAGTAATTCAAGACATGAAAGACACCTGGGGCAGGATGTGTGTTTATGGGAAGGATCTAGAGGCAGGCTCAAGGTGATTCAGCTAAAAGACCTATGAATCAGGAACAAGGTGTGTTGCAAAATGTGTGAGAGAGGTGTTCGAAGGTATAACCCTTCCTGGCACGTTCATTTCCTGACAGCAGCTCCCAGAATTGCTGAGGTTGGAAGGGACCTCTGGAAGTCGGCTAGTCCGATCCCCCTGCTCACGCAGAGTCGGAGCAGGTTGCCCAGTGCTGTGTCCCGTTGGGTTCTGAAGATCTCTGCAGATGGAGACTCCACAACCTTTCTCAGCAACTGTTCCAGTGTCTGGCCACCCTCACAGTAAAAAAGAACTGTTTTCTTGTGTTCAGATGGTTTTTAATCTGTGCCCATAGCTTCTTTTTCTGTCAGTGGGCGCTATTGAGAACAGTCTGGCTCCCTCCCATCAGTTCGGTGTCTCTACATACTTAAGGAAGGAGAGGTTGATAATACTGTTCTCAGTATTTAAGTGCAGGTGTCTTGGGAAGATAGGCTAGCTTAGAAGGCAACTGTCATACCCTGTCCTGGATGAAAGATACTCCAAATTCAGTTATGAAATATGGCCTTAAATCTCAATTACTGGTCTCTCTGACCTAGGAATGAGCTTTCCAAAGGTGTTTGAGTTTGTGCTCTGATCTCCAGGACACATGCACCCAAACCTAATCTGTCTCTTTAGAAAAATCTTCCCTCTTAGTGCATAGGTGTGGCCCAAGCACTGGAGTCCCATTTCTACCTGCTTACACAACGTGCATAAAGAGGGGAGGGATGGAGTTAAAAGTTAAGCTTGCAGCTGGCAGAGGACTTGCCTTTCTGGGTGTGGATTTGGGGATGTCGGAAAAACACAGATGCCTTGTTGCAAAATCATCTCTGCTGTCCCATGGGACACAGGCAGATCGATTGCCAAATATTTCACCCCCCTGAAAATGAAGACAAACTCTTCAGTTTTAACAAGCTGAAGATTTGATCCACAATTTGCAGTTTCACGTGGGCCAACAGACATTACCGGTGCCATATTAGAAAGTAGCTGTTTTGGTCATGAAAACAGGAAGGAAAAAAAAGCCGCACTTTTGAGACCATGTTCCTTGTTGCTACAGTAGATTATACTTCTTGGTTAAAAGATACTTAAAAGATGTTAACCTGCTTGCTCTAAAAGGTGAGAAGACAGCCAGAAACAGCACAAGTCAGTGTTCCTTGTCTTTGGGCTCTCCCCATTGCTGCTCTTCTGCTCCCTGTTTTACAAATGAAAGGGGAAGGAGTCCTTGGCAGTCAACCAGGATACTTCCCTGACCCTCGCTTGCATTTCTGGAGGGGATTGGTCACCTTGATGTAGGCTCATGGGAAGAAACAAAATAATTGATTTCATCAGGGTTTATTACCTGAAGGGCTTTTTAAGCATGAGCTGTTGCCGTCAGAGTCACAGGATCAGGTGTGATTTCCCGTTTGCTGGAATATACAGCAAATATGCAAACAGGCTCTCGGCTTTTTTTAGCTCACAAAAGCAAGGGAGTCCTTTGAAAGATCCTCCGCTTACCCAATCATCGCTTTGCCTGACACTGTACAGCATTATAATATTCTGACAGTGTAAATCCTCACATTTGCCTCCCTCCCTCTTTCCTTCAGTCGCTCTCCCTGCCCCCTCCCAAGACTGCTGCTATCGGATCTGTGATGATATGTGATCTCCTGGATACAACCACACACACACACACAAGTACCAGGCACTGCTGCTCAGCTGAGCAAAATGTCTTTCTCTTAGAAGTGGTGCTCATCACAGCTTTCAAATCCCTGACGATGTTGCCATGCTTTCCTTTCTGCCTTCTGCCTTTTTCTGTCTTTGTCTGCCTGCTTTTCTTACCCGTGGGTCATTTTTGCCCTGCTGTCTGTAGCTGTATGGACTACCACACCATAGATTGCCGGGATCAAGGACTCCCAAGTGTTCCTAATCCATTTCCATTGGATGTACGGAAACTTCTTATAGCTGATAACAACATTCAGGCTATACCAGCTGATTTCTTTATATTTTATGGAGATCTAGTCTATTTGGACTTCAGGAATAACTCCCTCACCTCTTTAGAAGAGGGCACTTTTAGCAGTTCTACCAAACTGGTGTATTTAGACTTAAGCTACAATAATTTAACGCAGCTTGATGCTGGGATATTCAAATCAGCAGAAAAACTGATAAAATTGAGCCTTGGAAACAATAACCTGGTGGATGTGGATGAGGCTGCTTTTGAGAACCTGGAACAGCTCCAAGTGTTAGAACTGAATGACAATAATTTACAAAGCCTAAATGTGGCAGCCCTAGAAGCGCTTCCCTCCCTGCGGACTATACGCTTAGAGGGCAACCCTTGGGTCTGTGACTGTGACTTTGCCAATCTTTTCAGCTGGATACAGGACAATGCATCTAAGCTCCAGAAAGGTAAAGCTCGGTGGCTCATGGTGCAGTGTACGTTTCTCTGTGTGTGTGTCTCGGAGGGAAGGAGGGTTCTTGGTCAAATTGTCTGTGTGCTGCCTGCAGTGACCCAAACTGCGTTTTGGGCAAATGGTAATTGCATGCCTTCAGCAAATGAGTCCATTTAAATGATGTTGGCTTCTTTTTAGCAGCAGGTCCTCGTCCCAGTTAAGCAATAAAATTTAAAAATTAAGCCCTAATAACTTTGATTTATACACTAAACTTACAGAGGCAGTGGAAAGAGCCTGTTTGAATTCATTCAGCCCGGAGCTGGTTCTCTTCCAGACTTCATTTTCTCTCTGGTAAATATATTTTCTGCAATAAGCCCTTTGAGCAGCTAAACATTCTGTGCCAGCTCCTTAGGAAAACTGATTTTTCTCTCATTTTACTGGTCAGCTATAAAGCTGCTACAGAAGAGTTAAATCCCTGTTTTATGCAACTGTGTTTGTCAGCCCTTTCCTGAAAGTATTTTGTTGTGATACCCTGTGTTTGAAGCTCTCTTCAGTAGCTCGATTTTGGCTCTTTTCATTAAAATAGCACTGCTTCTAATATTAGGAATAAATTGAAATGGCTCTGGAACACCCTAAAATGCAGGACATAAAATTCTGGTATTTGGGCCAGTAATTTTCAGAAAAGCAGCAGGGGGAGGGGGGAGAGCATTAAGACTGCCATGTATAGGGAATCCAAACTCTCGTTCCGCATTTCCCACCCGACCCCAAAGCCTCTCTTAATCCAGCTTTAGCAGGAGATCATCTCACAGTTCATGCCTCCCAACAAGCATGAGGGCGTAAACCCGTGCCATTGAGCCGCCCGGCTGCTCGCAGAAGGCAAACTGCCTGGAGCATAAAAGCTTTGTAAGGGCTGCAGAGGGTATACAAGTAGGACCCGACATGAAATCACTGGTGTCAGAGCTGTGTCTGAGGGGGGATGTCTTTGCAGAAGATGGGGAGAGCTGAAAGGCTGGTGGAGAGCTCAGAAGAAGGGGTTGAGGTCAGGTAACTGTTCCTTTGAATTCAGGCAAACAGGGAAAAATCACAGTGAGCCGACAAATTTCAGAGATCTTTTCTCTCTCGGTTGTCAGAGTTTGTAGTCAGTTGTTCAGGTTCTTCCTATGCTCGTGACCTAGGGTAGTGTTTCTGTAATACACTCATCTAGGTTGCCCTGAATATTCTGAGCTGTAAAACAGCTGTTTTAAGGAAGCAGTCTGCCTCAGTGAAACTTTCATCTTCCTTCTTTCTAAGCCAGACCTGGGCCTGTTCTCCCACCGCCCCTGATGCTTTAACTAAAGTTTGCTCTATTCAAACCAAGTATTTGCCTGTCTCTCATGCTAAACATCTGTTTGCTTCCCCATGCTTTCCACCTCTTTTAATGAACTTCTCCTTCCCCTTTATCCAGACTGAGTCTGTTCAGTTGGAGAGTCTGTCCCAGCACACCTCTCTTCTACCCTGTCAGTGTGTTAAGGCATATCTGAACGTATCTCAAGTGCTTGAGCTTTCCCATAGTGTTGCTGGTGTTCCCCAGTGTCTCGCAAGCTTAGAGATGCTTCCTCATAGCTTTTTCTCATCCACAGTTGTGTTTCGGCCAAATAGCTAAAAAATGACTCGCTCATCCAGATGCTCCAAACTTTCAGTTAGATTTGATTTGGGAAGACAAAGAGGGAAGGAGCAACTGTTCCAATGGTTGGTTTTATCAGAGCTGTGCCCCCGACGTGGCCTAAGCAAATGATTTGCGTTTGTTCCCGGGAGCAAATCCCCTGATATCTGTGCAGCCAGTCGTCTCAGTGAGATCTACTGCATGTATGCAGAAAAGCGTGCAAAGTCAGCGTTTTCATTGCTTGTGAGCTACTGCCACAAAAATACTGGCTGTCTCCTTTAATAAACTAGCAAAACGTTATTCATGAGGTTAGGGCAAAACTAAACCCAAAAAGGAAAGACAGTCTCAGTGACATTTTAAAACCATATGGCCACAATGGAGTGCCATTCAAAACAACTTTTGGAAAGTGAGTGTAAAACTCATTATTAGAATTATGATTTGATTGCATTTTATATCCAGTTTTCAGTCTTCAATGATGTTGCAACATTATACTCCTTAGGAACAGATCACATGAGCATTACTTGTCTGGTTGTACTTGTCCAAAGCCACATTTGCTGGGCCTTTCCTGGGAGGAGCGGGAAGAGCAACTCACTGAAAGATTCCGCATTCAGACTCCCTGGCTTCCTCATGATACTGCTGTAAGGCTGGAGGCAGAAGTATTCTTGCAGGAAACACATCAAGCTAAGTAGGGCAGCAGGCATTAGGTCTGGAAATACTGCAAAAGAAAAAGACAGGCATATATTTTCAGTGCCCGAGAAAATAAAGCTTAGTTAGTTTGGCTGCATGTTTTCCCCTTATAATTCTGCAGCAGCTCGAGTGTTTGCACTGCACGCCCTGTACAAATGGGAAACGGCAGGAAGGGAAAAGGAGTTGGCTGGCATTTTTCTTCTCTTGGTTTTCTTTAAGAATAAACTGTGATTACCAGCACAGAACAGTTCCATGGCAGGTTGAAGTTCCCCAGCCTGTAAATGGCACAGTTTGTAACCTGGCTTTAGTGAGGAGGGAAGCTGCGGAAGGGTGAATGGCAGTAAACTCGCATCGGTGATCCCCAGTCCTTTAGTGGAAAGGACAAAGCACTGCAAAGAAATTGAAGGCTCTGTACGCAGCCGGGCGTCTTACGCTGGCTTGGGAATGGGGTAGACAAGAAGGGATATGCCAAAGCAGAAATGCACATGCTCCAACCAGTCTGTGGATGAACTAGGATCCAGGCTGCAATTTGGAAGTGTCATTGTAGCATCGCAGTCCCTCAAGATTCAGAAGTGGTAGCAAGAAACAGGAGATAAATGGCTGGGAGAAACACACTGACAGATAGATTTAGGTTCTGGCCATTTATTTTGATTCCTCACTTTGAATGACGCTTAAAATAGTTTAATGCGCCCTGTCTGCATGCCTGAGAGAAATCACTTCAACTGTTTCTAAGCCCAGCCACCTCTTAATTTGAGCACTGCAGTAAAATGGCATGTTAGTCAAAGCTTTTTTTGCAAAAGAAGTACCAAGTTGATTTAAAAACTGGAGATTTGTCAATGTGAACTGAAATCTCACTAATTGATCCTTAAGCTCTAACTCTGTAATTAAGGCCTGTGGAGAACTCAATTGTCTGAACAAAAGCCATACTCCAACTCATTAGTTTTGCAAAAGCCGGGTCCATTTTCTTTCTGGCGTGCTCCCAGAAATAGCTTGTAAAGTTATAACTTAGGCTGACCTGTCTGCCTAGCTGACTGTAAAGCCTCTTCCCAGCTGAGCTGCCTGTGCACATCTAACTTGTCGCTTCACCCAGACAGCTGGGATTTGAATCATTTTACAGATCCCAGCATTTATTCATCTACCCTAAATTTCTAAATAAAGCCTTAATTGTCAGCAAGTGAATACTCTCGCATGACAGATTTGCAGGCAGACTTATTAAAGAAACTGCACTAAAAGTTTTGCAGTTAAACTCAGCACTTTACCTTCAATCAAACTCAGCACTTTAAAACAGCAAACCTATTTTTACACTTGTAAAAAGATATTAAAACCAGCATTTTTATCATACTTCAAAACCAAACCACATTTTTTTCCCTCTGATTTGGTTACTAATTGATTAAAACCAAATTAGTGTCTATAGTGGGAAGCAGACAAAGGAACTGGGACAATCAGTGGAATGGTGATAAGTGGATAATATATAACAGTTTTTTTTCCTAGAGAAAATGAAGGATTCACTATGGGCCAAAGTGGTTTAGCTGTAAAACGTAAAGATTTTTTGTAAAAGGATGTTTGATTTTATAGGCATTTGTTAAGCCTGACCGGCAGCGTGGTGGCCAATGACTCATATTAAAGGCTACACATTAGGAGGAGCATGGAGATTAAGAATATAGGATTTTTTTTTTTAAATAGAAAAGTTGTTGTAAGATCTCTGTCCCATCAAAGAGAGGCGTAAAAGCCTTCATGGAAGGTTTTACTCTATGGGGGCATGCAAACCCTCAGAACAAAAAATAGCTTGAAAGAACAAAGGTTTAAGTTGGTCTTAAAAATATTATTCAAAGAATTCAAGGAAATCATATCTGAGGTGTATGCTATCATGTTCTATCCTCTGCTTGCCTATATTTGATCCGGCTTCTTGAATTTAACAAAAAGCAATTGACAAGACTGACGTTCTCTAAAGTGACAGAAGAAATTAAGAAAAACAGGAATAAAAGCAAGAGAGGTACTGAATAAAGGGAAGGATGGTTATAGGTTGAGTTAAATAATTTGAGGGCATAATGTTTCAAAAATGAATTCAGTGAAGTCTAAGGAAATGTGACATTCATTTTTGTGAGATCAAGAGTCACCTTTGAGATTTCTTGCGTTTTCTGCTTCAATGGGAGCTGGAAATCCTACAAAAATACACTTGGTAATTTCTCATATTTGGAAGAGCTTTCCTCTGCTTTCAGAGCTCGTTCTGTATCACATTTTATCTTGGCTAAAATTCCTTCCTTACCTCATCTCTTAACCTACTTTTTTTAGTAATGCTGTTTGAAACTCCAGGCCTCATCCAGCGAAGTGTTGTCGCTGGTGCGCAGGAGCTACAGAACCCAGGTTTAGGAACACTTCCTTTTCAGTGTTTAAACACAAATGGCTTTGATGGAATAAATTTTTGGTGAAAGGTGTGGTTTTAAATTAGCGCGTAGCACTGCAAAAGACATTTCTTAAACCCTTCTGAGGATCTCACCTCGATGAAGGGATTGGATTCAGACAAAAGGGATGTTGCAAAAAGAAATACAAGTAGCTTGCAGTGGCCACTTTGAAGTGCTTTGTCGAGATCTCTGTTGCTGATTTTTACTTTCTGGGAACATGCTGTGGGCAGCTGTGCCTGTGACCTTGTTTGCTAATGACTAATGCATTTTTAACATTACTTTTAA